ACCTTCAAATACAGAGATTATCCTGGCTTATCTAGGTGAGTCCAAGGAAATCACAAGTATCCTTAAGAGTGAAAGAGGGAATGTGAAGAGATCCAGAGTGATTCAAAGTGAGAAGGACTTGACTGGCTGGCTATGACTGGCTTTGAAGATGAAAGAAAGGAGCCACAAACCAAGGAATGCAGGCAGCCTCTAAAACCTGGAAAAAGGAAACAGATTCTCCCCTAGAGCCTCCAGAAGATGTGCAATTCTGCCAACATCTGATTTTAGCCCAGGAAGACCCATTTCAGACTTCTGACTTCAAGAAATGTATGATAATAAATTGTTTTCAAGCCACTAAGTTTGTAGTAATTTGTTACAGTAGCTCTGGGAAACTAACACAGTCTTCCTTCCCACTTTAAAAAGGATTGTAACTCTCCTCAGGTCCAAACATCTCCAAATGCTGGGGAGCTGGTTTTCTGACAACTTAGTCTATAAATTGCTGGCATCCAAATCTAGACTGCCTAGTACAAAAATGATCTGACTTTCCCCACATTATTAAGGTTGCTCTCACAGCTCCCCTACAATAAGAAAGCATAATAAGAGGGTGGGGCTCTCCACTGAAATAGATACACATCTTGCACATCCAGCAGAATGCCTAGGCCCCAGCAGATTTTGGTTGGGATGATGAAAGAATGAAGGGCTTTTGTTTTCTTTTCTTGCTGACCCTGGCCTAATAAGTCTTCCCTTTCCCCATAAAGCCTATTTCTTAACAGATACTATGTAAAACTATGGAATTCATCCTGAGCACTAGAGCAAAACAGGAGGTGGTGACCCAATAGGGCCTATCCTTGTAGGACAACACAAGCTCACCTGGGAAGGGGTATTTGTTCACAGATATATACAAAGAACTTTGAACTGCCTCTCCCTTTGTAGGCACTCTATTAAAATGTGCTGGATAAGTGAATGTTATAACAACTATTACACACTGTATAACTGACTCCAGAAGCCTAAAAGGCTTCAATGTGAAAGGTAAAACTATGAAGCTAATAGAAGAAAATGGTGGGAATTTTTTTGTGGTCTAATGATAGAAAAGATTTCTTAAATATAATTTCAAAAACATAAACCATAAGGAAAAAAACTGATATATTTCCTTACATAAAAATTAAGAGTTATGTTTAACTGACAGGCTACAGAGTAGAAACAGATATTTCCAATATCCACACATGACAAAGGACTAATAATTGGAATACACAGTGAACTCCTGCAAGTTGATAACACCCCCCCAAAAGTCAGGACAAATTAGAAAAGTCAGTAAAGCACAGAAAAAGGAAACTCACATAAAGAGAAACCAAAATGGCTACGGACATGAAGAAATGCTCACATTCAAATTATTCACTTTATACTGTGCATATATGGCAAAGATTAGAACGTTGAATACTGAAAAGAGTTAGCAGGGACATGGGGGCATAGAATATAGACAGGACTATTGATAGAGTATAGACAGGACTATTTCTGAGAAAAATCTAGCAGCACTTGCTCAAATAAAGTGCTTATACCTATGACCCAGCAATCTTACCCTCAGATAAGCATTCCAGAGACATTCTCACAATGATTGATAATAGGATGTTAAGGGCAGCTTTGCTGGAGATAGCTGAAAGCTGAAGCCAATATCCATGGTAAGAGAGTACTGCGGATACAAGAAAATGTGAAAGAAGTACACACTATGGAACTATAGTAGCCGTTAGAAACAAGGAGGTAATGTACACACACACACGCAAAAATCATAAAAACTGTACAAAAAAAGTAAGAACCAGAATAAGGTTTTTAGCAGGACAGCACTTAAAAGGATCATTTATGTTGTATTTTCAGGGCCTACAAGGACATCCACTCCCATCTCCATAACCAACTTTAAAAAAAAGATTAGAAAACAAGTGAATTTTCTAGGAACTTTGGAAAAACAGAAAGCCTAAGAAGCAGTAACTGTAAGCAGATAGGGTAGGCGGTACCCAGAGAAGAAGGACCAGGCATGGCTTTCTTGACATGAGAAGCCATTTTTGGCCTAAGCCATTTGGGAATCTAAGCCTGGCCACAATGATTACCCTTGAACAGGTCTCAGTAATAATGCTCTTAAGGAGTAACAATAGCAAAGATAATAAATCAGTTATAAAGACTTCCAGTTCTGTTTCCATGGTAAAGATTAGCCTGAAGCACTTTCTTAAGCTGTTTTTCAGAATTTAAACCCCCCCCTAGCGCTCAACCATCAGATCAACTGTAACCTAAGGGATGATAATGTTGACCTTTTCTGACCCTTGTGACTTCAATCAACTAAAGCATGGATGCTGTCAACCTTTGCCCCAATTCTATGCTGAATTCTCCTGCTGAAGCCCCTTCATGAATAGGCATGCACCACCCAAAACCCTTCATGAATATGCAAGTACCCTTAGCTTAAAAGGTCATCAATTTTGCTGTTCAGGATACTGCTTTGGGAAGATCCTGGTATTCTCCTTGCTGCAAGTAGTACACCCTTTCTTCTTCTGATTTTTGGCTTGGTTGTGTCTTTTGTCTTGCCACCCACCAAGAGATGAACCCAGTTTTCTGGTAACAACCAGAGGCTGAGAAAAGGCCCTGAGGGCTTATCAGCAGGGACACCTTTGGTACCTCTGAGTATAAGCACTAAGACAGAGGATTGTTAAGAAATTTACCCTGTGATCTTCCAAAAAAGTCACAGATCAGTCTCTAGAAGGTGCCAAATAAAGAAAAAAAAAAAAAAATCCAATATGCTTTTGGAAAAACTCATGCTACTTACAGTCCCTGAATTGATCTTCCTCTTTCTCAATTCTCTAAATTTAAGCTAAAGAAGCAATGGAGAGATTTGGGAAACTGTCCAAATCTTTGATATCACTGCTTGAGTGGGTCTTAGCTCTTTTTCTGGAAACAATTCCCCAGGATTCTATATCAATACGTAAGAAAATGGAGAAGAGAGCATTACTTTGAGCCCTTCCCCCTAGGAAAAGGTGCCCCTTGACACCCTGGTTTCTCCTAGATTAAATCTAACCTGGGTTCAGAACACTTCACAAAATGAATACAAACTAAATTTATATTTAACTAACAATTCCAGGAAAGGTTACTATTCTTTAAAATACAGTTATGTTTATCATTCTCGTTTAGAGTCACAGATAAATTTGAGGATTATTCTTCACTGGAACACATTATTAGTTTACAGAGTTTAGGCCAATTTTTCCCAGTAAAGGACAATAAATAAATAAAGGATAATAAATAAATAAAGGATACATAAATACAAGTGCAATCTGGGAGTACCTACCAGATAACTGCACATTCTCTCAAGCTAAAAAATACTGTTAAGTATCCTGAGTAAATTAAAAGACATTTTTGTTTCTTAAAGATAAAGTCAATAGCTAAGAAAAAGTAACACACATATATCTGTGTGGATACACATGGAGAAAGAAAGCAAGTGTGGAGAAAGGTTAACACTTGGTGACCCTGGGGGTGAAGGTGTTCCTTGTATAATTTCACTGTATAATTTTTTCAATTTTCCTGTAAACTTGAAGTTTCATAAATAAAAGCTGGAGGAAGATTAAAGTCAACAGTTTTAATTTGGTATTCAGCCTCCACATGCTCTCATGACTTGCCTCAACGAAACACCTAGCTCATTATTTTCTTACTTCAAGACTATACACCCCTCATGGCATTGGTCCTGTAGACGCAATCCACGTAAAAACTGCTTAAGTCCACCTAGTGTCAGAATATGTTTAAAAATAAATAAGCTTGGAAAGCTTGGATCAAACCCTAAGAGAGATTATTATTCCCTTTAAGTAGTTCCGAACGAGTTGGACCAGTTTCTTTTGATATTTAAGAACAACAAAGTACCTAAGAACGTTATCACTGTCCAGTTTTCACTTTGCTTAAGTGGACCTTTCTAAAACTTTGCTCCTCTCACGACTCTGACCTACTGCGCGTATTTCTAAATCACTACTCGTCGTCTTGCAGTGCAACATTAGGCGTTGTCCTCTCTGCCGTTAACCTAATCAAACTAGGGTTCCTAAATACAAACACGCGCGGGCGTATCTTCCAATCCACAAAAAAACTAAAAAAGCTGACAAGCTACACTAACCCATCATTTTCCCCTTGCCTCACACTTCCTCGTTTTTAAAAGAAACCCAACGGACACCATATACATTAATAGATGGCTTTGATGCAACTGTAAGAATTCTAGAAAGACAACTGCATACGAAGTGAAAGCGAATCGCTGAGTTGGCAAGGAGGATGGTTTTGCATGTTCCTCTGAAATCCCCGGGGCGTCAGGATCAGATCCCGACCGCGGCGAATGCGGACCACGGCGGACAGTCGAGCAGGGGATAGTGAAGGAAGGGGGCGGCGAAGGGTGACACGAACGACCGGGACCCCGAGTGCGCGCGGCTTAGCAGAGCCCCGCGCCGCGCGCCCCCCGCCCCTCCCCTCCGCTCCCCGCACAGCCTCCCCCGCCCCTCCCCACCCGGCTCCCTCAAGCCTCCACGAACGGAAATGGGAGTCACAGCGCCGGGGACCAGCGGAAACAAAACACAGAGGCGGCCGCGGGGGGGCCGCTGTGGGGGAGAAGGCCCCGGAACGAAGCCGGCCCGCGCGGACCCGCGCTCCCCTCCTCCCCAGCGGCCGCACTCACCCGCTCTGGATTCGGCCCCGTCGCCCCCGCCCGCAGTCCAGAGCCGGCTGAAAACCGCAGCGCCGCGGGCTCCACGTGCGGCGTCTCTCCCGGTAAGACCCACAGCTCCAGCGACTCGAAGTGAGAGGCCCCTGGGCCCTTCCCGCGAAAACGGCGCAGAGAAACTCCAACCCCCCCCCCACCTCCCAGGCACCCCCGGGTCCGGGACTACAACTCCCAGCAGGTTGCGCGAAACGAACGCCCGAGGCAACGGAGGCTCACGAGGCAGAAGGGAGCCCAACTCCCCAATCCGCTTTGTTTTACACTCTTTCACTTTGCCTGCACAGTCGTACACCTCAACCACCCCAAGGAAGAGGACGCTGACTCGGGGCGGTGGGGATTGAACTAGGGGAAAGGCCAGTCCAAGTGCGCATGCGTACACAAGGTTTCCGAGAGGGAAAAAGAGAGCAGGTCAACTTGGGAGAAGGAAAGATGGCGGAGGCGTCGCCAGGGGACCCGGAAGCACTTACCCTCCACTTCCTCCTCCTGTTTGGCTTCTGTCTCACCTAGAGCCGTCCGGTCGCCGACTGTCTCCGAGACGCTTCCTGTCCGGTGAGTGTCGACCGACTGAAACGGCGGCCCATAATGCATTGCGATGGCGGGTAGGCGGGGGGGGGCGGAGCCAGGGCCGGAAGTAAAACGGTGGCGGCGGCGGTGGCGGCGGCGGCGGCGGTGGTGGTGGTGGCTCTGGCAGCTCGGCACCAAGTGCAAGGTGACTGGGAGGGTAACTGGACTCACTTGGCCTCTAGGGACGAGCATTCTGGGTTTCTTCACGAGGTCTGGGATGCCTATCGCCTCTGCCTTTCTGAAAGAGAGAGCAGCCTGTATCCTGGACACCTTCACGGTCTGGCCCGGAGTCATTGCTGACCTCGGCGCCTTTAGGCCTTGAAGTTTGCGGTAGACTCAGTAGGTAGCCCTGATAATACCGCTCTCAGGGCCAGCCTGACGCTCAGGGTGGCGTGGGAGTCAGGGGGGCCGGCGCTTCATGGACCCGCCGCTCGGCTGGGGCAGCCAAGGTCATGCCCGCGGGGCCGGTCTTCAGCCAGGCCTGCTCAGCCCTGGCGCGCGGGCGATTGTTCTGAACTACAGCATTTAAAAGTAGAACGTAAGAGGGGAAAGGATAATAGTAATCTTAAAAGTTTGCAACCTACCTAAAAACGTTGGTGGTGCTAAAACTTGGTTAAGCAGCTTTGTTTTACATCACGGATTCCAGGAGGGAAAAAGAGAGCCGGTTAAGTCAGGCGAGTTGAGGATTGACTTCAGCAATGAACATGCGCCGAAATCGCAGCGAAAGGCTGGTCAGTCATCATTGTAAACGGGAGAACCGTGCTCCCTCTCAGCATAAGGCCGCCTCTTACGCTGTACCCTTTTCTTGCTGTTGCCTTCCCCAGTCTTTCTGAGTGTGTCAAATCCCTATCATAGGCTGGCGTGGCCCCTCGTAGTACTCGAATAGAGAACTTAATCATAGTTGGTATTTTATACCTATTTGTGTAATAACATGTATCTTTCTCACTAGATCTTTAATCAGTGGGGAAAAAAATGAAACGGAATAAAGGAAAAGGAGCAAGTTTTGATAGTGAGATTATGTGTTCATTTTTTAGATAAGTTGAATTTGAGGGCCCGGTAGGACTTAGGAAAGGATGAGAGCTGTCGAATGTATAGGTTTGGAGTTCAGGAAAAAGACCAAAATTAGAAGTGTGATTTGGGAATCATTCGTACTTAGATGATAGAAATAGAAAAAATGAAAATGGGTTTTACCCATGTTGCAGTAGGAGTAACATGATCTTTGCAATGTTAGACTTAGAGCAAATTAACTGTGGGAATATGAATAATTTAATCACTTTTCTTAAACATTTTCTTATCTGTAAAGGAGGGATAAGAACACCTTTCTCTGTTTCTTCAAAGTATTGCCATAAGGGTACAAGGAGAGAATATGTCTAGAAGTACTTTGCAAAATACCTAGGGCTGAACAAGTGTTAGGTGACCACATTGCAGAGTGTTGTGTGTCTTTACATTGCCAAAGGGGAAAATATACACTGAATTGCACAATTTGAAAAATATGTTTGTGTTCTGTTAAATTCTACTGTGTAACCTGGGATCAGGTACTTACAGCTAAGCCTCAGTTTCTGTGTAAAATGAGAATGCTATTAAGTGGCACCTTAAGGTCATTTGTTGTTTGCTTGGAGCCTCCCCTCCCCCCCCTTTATTTCCTCTGATGAGGTATAAGAGTGATGTATGATGAAATCTTTAATTTCTTCAAATAGTTTTCTTTCATGCTGGCAGGTGAAGGATATTTGGTTGATTGTAGGATTTCTTTTGGTGGTTTTTATGTGCAATTTCAGGGCTTCTCAACCTTAGCACTATTGACATTTTCGACCAGATATTTCTTTGTTGTGGGCAGGCTATTGTTATTATTGTTGTTGTTGTTATAGGATGTTTGGCAGCATCCTGGTTTTTATCCACTAGAGGCCAGTAACACTCGCTGCTATCAAGACAACCAAAAATGTCTTCAGACATTGCCAGATATCTCCTGGGGGATACCGCCACCTGTATTTGAGAACTGCTGTGCTACTCCATTGTCGTCTAGCTTAGTGCTTTCCAACTCTCATTAGTAAAGGGCCATTTTCCCCTCAACCCGTGTGGATATTTTTGAAGAATACAGTAAAAATGAATTACTGGAAAAATTAGTAGATGAAAGACAAAACAATGAAGACACACAAAATATGAACTCTTTTTGTATTATTAAATTCAACAGATATGAATTACTCTGTCAATTTGCTGTAAAAGTTTCTAAATGCTTATTGCCAATTTTGGTATTACTATAGACCAGTAAGGCAATACTACCGCTGGTCCCCAGACCACACTTTGAGCAGTAGTATTATAATTTAATAGTAGTCCAGTGTCAGTGAGATGATGCTTATTGTTATTGCTGTTATTAGGTAATTTGGGGGGGGGCATGGGAAACATGTTAGCATGTTGGGTTTTCACTTTAAGGTTCAGAAATTTTACCAGGCTGTATTGAGGTGTGAATCTTTATCATCATTCCAGAAGGGTTTGGTAAGCCCTTTCAGTTTAATCAGCCTTTCTTCATCTTGGGCAGTTTTTTCTAATTATTTATGGTCTCCCTATTTATTTCTTTTCTTTTGGAATTTCTGTTTGCATACAATTCTTTTTTTTTGCATTTGATCTTTTCAGGACACTAAATGAGGTCTCAACTGAGATCATCCTCTAATTTATATACTGTAATTTTTTAGTTAGATGACCATGTATTTTAGCTTCAGGAAGTCTAGACCTTAGAAGTCTTTAAGTGCTTATTTTAAAAGTCCAGACTTTCTTCTCCTTCACAAATTCTATTTCACTGATTAGATTGTACTGCTTGATTTTTCCTCTCTTGTTGGTGGGCTCCCTTGGACTAGTTGCTGTCTTACTTGCTGGTTCTTTTGGACTTAGATTTGGTTTTTACAGTGTCCTTGAATGTCTAGAATCCTGCAGTTGTAACAAGCAGAGCAGTTTCTTTCCCTGTGGGCCCGGGAAGTAGAAACTGAGGGCTCAGGCAACTGTCTCCAGTCTCCCTGCACAGCTCCCTTTTTGCCTTTTGAGGGAGTCAGGGAAACCTGGTACGTTAATTTGGGGATCAGTATTATTCTTTTTCTGCTGAGGGTGGGCAGCCAAGACTAATAAATTCATGGAGAAGAAAACATGCCATCCCAGATTCTGAGCTTTCTTTCTGCGTCTGACCCTAGTGGAGCCACACGCAGGCCTGAGTGGTTCCTAACTGCTGCTAGGTTCCAGGGCCTTTTGGTTAAGAAGCAAAAAACTTGCAGTGTGGGGTAGAGAGGGGAAGGGAGCTATGGTCAGGTGACTGTTCTTAGTGTTTACTGAATTCTGGTATGATTTAAGTTCTGTAGCAATTAGTAGAATTAGATGCCCACTATAACATATTAACAGGTGTTTTACAATTATATCTATTTTAAAGTATCTTCACATTCTGGTGCTTGTTTCCAGTAACAGAATCACCATGATTCTTCAGAGGCTCTTCAGGTTGACCTCTGTCATTCAGTCTGCAGTCTCGGTCTCTTTGAGGAGGAACATCGGTTTTACAGCAGTGGCATTTAATAAGGAACTTGATCCTGTCCAGAAACTCTTCGTGGACAAGATTAGAGAATATAGAGCTAAGCGACAGTAAGTGGGTAGATAATCAACTATGGTGTACGTGTGAATATTCAAAGTATGTAAGTTTTGAGACGGTAATAAAAAATTACTTGGCGTTTGAAAGTGTCTAAGACCTTCACTGAGCTGATCTCTATCATAAAGGTTCATTACCTGCTCCAAAGAAGAAGATGAGAATCTTGATTTTTTTTTTTTTAAGTCCCAAATTTTCTCTTCCTTATATGGGTTCCAAGGGAGAATCCCATTAAATCTAGTGCCATTTTAGATATATCCCTACTATAATGTCATTTATTATAAACTAGAATCAATTCATACAAGTACATGGGATCTTGGAAATCATTTAGGAACCATATTTGAGAAAAACTAAGCCCCTTAGACATTGATTAGCCTAAGGTCATAAAACTAATTGTCGGGAAAACATAATCAAAATATTCTAACTCTCAATTCAGTGCCCTTTCTGTGACATCATGATTTGGGGGAAATGTATAGACACAACATTTTTTCTTTAATGCTACTTCCATATTTATATATTTCTGGGAATATCAAAAGACTCCTGCTTTATGACATAAAGCAAGTCCAGGAGCAACATAATAATAGAACCACACAGTTTTGGAGATGAATGATGACCTTAGCATCAAGTTCAACGCCCAAATCTTCAGAAAAGTGATACAGATCATTTCAGAGTTTTGTTTTATTTGGTTGTCTATCATGTGCAAAGCGCTGGACTATTAACAGTGGTGGGCTACAAAGAAAGAAGCCACTTTGCATTTACACAATATTCTTTTTTTTTTTGCGGTTCACGGGCCTCTCACTGTTGTGGCATCTCCCGTTGCGGTGCACAGGCTCCGGACGCACAGGCTCAGTGGCCATGGCTCACGGGCCTAGCCGTTCCGCGGCATGTGGGATCTTCCCAGACCGGGGCATGAACCCGTGTCCCCTGCATCGGCAGGCGGACTCTCAACCACTGTGCCACCAGGGAATCCCTACACAATATTCTTAAAGTCTGATGGGGTAGAAAGTTTCTAAGCAAGTAAATACAATATAAGTTTAAATAGGTTAGATGCTAAGATAGTGACACATTCAGTGTTTGGAGAACTCATAGGAAGAAATGCTCCTTTCTAGCTGGTGCATTTTGGAAGGCGGCTTGGAAGAGTGAATGTTTCTAAAAGCTTGTGGATCCCAGAGCTGGACAACAGTCATCAAAGTATCTGGTTGAAGGCTCTATCTAGAACTGAACTGTATATCTCTATAGCTATTAATCACATGTGACTATTCAAATTCTAATGAAGTGTAAATAAAAATTCAGTTCCTCAGTTGCCTTAGTCACATTTCTATTGCTCAATACCAGATATGGCTACTGGTTACCATATTAGACAGCACATACATAGAGCATTTCTATTATCACAGAAGGTTCTATTGCACATGCTGATGTAGAAGAACATTGGGTCCATAGCAAGAAACATCATTAACAAGTTCTTAAATTAGAGCTGGCTCAGTATTTTTTGTGGAAATTCTGTAGCATAAATAAGATCCCATGCTTTTATCATAGGCATGGGTGAAAATATTAGCCTTGATAGAATTTTCACTTATAGATTTTTTTATTATATTCATTGATAAGTGGGCAGTAACATTCTGACAAACAGAATTTGTGTAAACACTGCTGGTCCATGATGCTATATTTATCTTTCCAAAGCACAGCTCTAATTTTGTCATTTTATTGCTTAGCAAACAAAATACAAAGTCCCAGGCTTAACATTCTCGGCCTCCTGTGATCTGGGTCCCGCTGGCTTTTCCCTCTAGGCTGTTTAGTGTTCCCCACATACAGCCAGTGCTTTACCACCTCCTCATCCTTGCTTTTTCAGTCTTAGAATGTCTCAAATTAAAATCTGACCCAAATGCATGGTTTGTCACAAATGCCACCTTTTTAAAATGAAATTTCCCTGTTCAGCTTAGCAAAAGTGATCCCTCAATTCAAGTAGCTTTTTGTTAAACCGTGTCTTTGTAGGTTATCACCTAACTCCCTTACAGCATAATTGTTTATAAACATGTTATTTTTTTCTTCTAAATGGCAAAACCTCTGGGGGTAGGAAGTAATTTGCTTCTTTGTTAGGCCCCTATTATAGAGACTTAAAGTTTTTGAATGCCGTCCAGTGGTGGTTGATCTAAATCATAGTGATAGTAGATAACTGAGTGCTCACTGTGTGCCAGGCACTATGCTGAGTGGTACATGTACACAATCTCCCTTTCTCTCAACGCCACCATCAGGTAAGACTTCGAGTTGTAGATGTAGAGTTTAGTTCACACGGTTTGCTCTAGTTCACACAGTTACTAAATTGTAGAGCTGACGCTGAAACGGAAGCAGTCATTCACCCCAGACCCCGCAGACTTGGCCATTGTACCTTATTGCTGCTTAGACCCTGAGAGGTTGACTTTTAATAAGTATCCTTGATACTGACAGACCTTGAATGTTAGAGGTTTGTTTGAAGTTGCTTCATTTATGTGAAACCTCGTAATAGTTAAAATAGTTTGAGCTGAAATTCAAGTGGAACTGCTTGTTACCTTTCAGAAAAGTCTGCTTTTCCCTACATATAGAAGATCTATGAAACTTAATTTTGTTTTTGTAAACTAATGATTAAAATCTGTTTTCAACTTGGTCGTTTACACAACAGGACATCTGGAGGACCTGTTGATGTTGGCCCAGAGTATCAGCAAGAACTAGACAGGGAGCTTTTTAAGCTTAAGCAAATGTATGGTAAAGCAGACATGAATATGTTCCCTAACTTCACATTTGAAGGTAAGTCTTTTTAATCACAGATTCATTGTTGTGGGAGATCATTTTAAGTGGAGAATATTTATACTTACTTGGGTTGTGTAGAGGATTAAATGACAATTACATGTGAATTTATTAGAACAGTGACATGTGCATGGGAAGCTCTGGGATAAATGCCATTGGAGTAGGAGATCAAATAGCATAGAAGTTAAACGGCAGGGATCTAAAATCAAACTCCTGACAATATCACTTATGAGCTGTGTGATTTTGGATAGTTAATTGGTCCCTCTTTCTCATCTGACATTTGGGGAGAATTATGCTGTTTTCCTCATAATGATAGTTGTAGTTAAATGACATAGAGAGCCTGGCTCACTGTAAGTCCTGAATAAATCTTAAGCAGTTGTTATATTTCCATGTAGATGTTTCTTTAAAAAATCAGAAGATTGATGAGTTAAATATTAAAACTTTCTAGAAGATGAACTTTATTGCAGTATGGCTAAGCTTGAACCTTTTTTTCCTCTTAGATCCCAAGTTTGAAGTCGTCGAGAAACCACAGTCCTGAAGAAATAATGTAAAATTTATCTGGTAATTTGTCCTAGATTATTGTATAACTGATCAGAAGTAACAGCATAAACATACATTTCACAACTGTCATATGTTCTTTTAATTCTGATTTCAAAATAAATTATTTGGTGGTGTTGGGTATACACTTGAGTGTATTGAATTCTGTGTTTTTAGATCCTCCCATTTGGTTATATCAAAGCAGATGGAGACCTTGGATTAATTGGGTACTACTTGCCAGATTCTTCTGAGTGCAGGGGTGTCCTTTTTGTTGCGGAGACTTACTGCTGGAGGGGAGCCACCCTGACTTAAGGAATGTTTGCTGTGGAGAATGTTATACCCGTTCCCAGAATATGAAGAAATGGTTCATAAATCCTTTTTCATAGCTTTTTCAGGAAACTCAAGTGTGATTGTGAATATGTCCAGGAACATCCATTGTGTTTTAACTTCCATCTCCTCGTATGTTAAATGCTTTTATTATCCCAGTAACTCAGGTCCCTCCTCTTCCCTTGCAGTGTAATGATCACAGTGTCTATTATGGGGCTATATGGATAGATCAGGGGGAGCTGGGAGCTGGGGAGGGGAGGGTTCTACAAAGGAATTTCCTTTAAAATATTAAGCTGTAGGGCTTCCCTGGTGGCGCAGTGGTTGAGAGTCCACCTGCCGATGCAGGGGACGCGGGTTCGGGCCCCGGTCCGGGAAGATCCCACATGCTGCGGAGCGGCTGGGCCCGTGAGCCATGGCCGCTGAGCCTGCGCGTCCGGAGCCTGTGCTCCGCAACGGGAGAGGCCACGACAGTGAGAGGCCTGCGTACCGCAAAAAATATATATATATATTAAGCTCTATGGTGTTGTTTGCCCAGCTGATGGAAGGTCCAGCAGATATGATGTGCCAGAGAAGTGGCAGAGCAAGCACATCAAAATTTCAGAGAGTAGATGGTTTTATTTTTAATTATTCTTTTTTAAAAACAGGAAAAGCAGTTGTGCCTTTTTCTATCTGACAATCTCTCTAACTTATGTCAGTAAATACCTGTCTTTAGTAAAGCTGTAGAGATTTCCTTCAAAAATGTGAAGTCAGAAATACAGCCTTTCTTATGAGGTTAGCTCACTTCAAAAGAGAAATAGATTTTTACTATGGCATGCCATACTAGCTGAAGTCTCAACCTGGTGAGGAATACCTTTTTCAAAAGATCCACAAATATTTCCTAATGGTATAGGTGTGATTAGTAAGATGTGAAGAGATGGAATTGGGGAGGGTAAAGTAGTGGGAAGAAACTGCCCAATTTTCTTCAAATGAAGCTAAGCAATGATGGGTCAGTTGGACTACTTTTAAATAGTTGTAGACGTTGAAACAGAATTCGATGTTTCATTATGGCACCATTAAAGGTAACCAAGGAAGCCTCATTGATCTGTTCCTTTGTCACTTCCCCTCCCCTGAAGTGGCTCTACTCCACCCTCCTGTGGCAAGCAAGTAGCCTGGGGTCAACAGCGACCCTGCCAGTCTAGGTGGAGATGGGGCTGACCCTTTCCGTTCATGTTTCCCTCCCCAATTCAGAGTTTAGTTGAATTTTACCTTTTATAATCTCACACCTATTATCTTCATAATTTTTTTTTGTCTGTCTCGCAACCACTTGGAGTTTGCTTGAACATCCCAATCTCTTCATTATGTAAACAGAAGGACTCTATTTGTGGCTTTCTGCAAGAATACTGTGTTAAGCATCCTACTCATGCCCTACATCTTAGGGCTATGCATTTAGCTAAATTCTGACCAGAGAAGTGCTCTTGTTTTTTTCCAACTGAATGCTGTAGTGGTGCTTTGAGTCATGGATGTTAACCATTGCCCCACCTTCCTCATAGACCCTTCAACTTTCTGGTAAGCCTGCCCCAAATTTGCACACTCCAGCCTTTATCTGTTACTTCAGCCTACAAGAAAGTGGTCCTGCACTTAGCATTTGGGACCACCTTATATGTTATTACAAATGACCTCAACCTTCTAGGCTTTTAGCTGTTTAAAATGGCATTTTTCTCCCTTGCCTGGTAGTGTGGGCTGAATCATATTCCCCTAAAACTCGTATGTTGAAGCCCTAACTCTCAGAACCTCCCAATGTGATTGTATTTGGGGATTGGGACCCTTAAAGGGGATTAAGTTAAAATGAGGTTGTTAGGGTGGGCTTGAATCCAGTCTGACAGGTGTCCTTATAAGAAGACTGGTGTTCTTATAAGGGCATATTTGAGTTGAGGAAAGGTACAGGAACTGGAAATGGACATGGGCCTGCCTGTTACGTGTCTAGTACTCCCTTTAATAATAATAGTAATAACCAAAGAGGGCTTCCGTTGTAGGTGATTTTTACTTAAATCCATTTAGTGTAGAATTTTGTTTCTGATTGTTGCTACCCTTGGTGTGGCAGGCCTATAAATGCTTACTCTGGTTAGATTCTTAATGTATGAGTTCTTGGAAGGCTCTGTGGGCTAGAAAGTTTCCTATTATGCAGATTACCTTAAATGGGAGGTCCGACCCATCTCTTCCAAACTCCCCTCAGCTCCCGCCTCAATGGTCCAGTTCACAGACTCTTATTTCAGATGTTTGCTCTCAGACACTGGCAAGAAGGCTCAAGGCCAGCTACGTTCAAAGATGCCTACTTGACCACAGGAAACTCACACATCCTTGCCCTGAGATACAATGGGAAGATAGGTGCTTCACCATTTCCCCTGCTCTCTACCTTGATATCTTTTTCCAACTCTCTTTTCACTCTGCTCAAATAGCTCTTTGCTTCTTGGCATGTGCCTTCAATTGTTGCAGGTGATCCTCTTTAAAATCCTCTTTACTTGCCTTGGGGGGTGAGTTGGGAAGTAGAACTCACAACTTTGACAAACTCACACGACTTGGACAATTCATTCTGTCTCTCTCCATTGCTCCCCACCCCCAATCCATCCCTACACACTTCAGTTTATGGATTTTGTGTGGTGGGGTAAAGGAGAGAGGACCAGGGTAATAATTTCAGGGTAGCACAACTGTCTCTTCATGAACATCAAAGCAGGTATTTATACCCAAATTAGTTATGGGTTTCTTTAGAAAGTGAGGTACTTGTCAGCCTTCAGGCAACAAGAAAAATCCCAGTCGACATTCTGTTACATGAATATGTCTTTACGTATAAAACTTTTTCTAATTCTTTTTGCTATATGTTATCCTAAAATTTAGAAAACTAGGTTTCTTGACCTACAGCAACTTCAGTATAATTCATGGTAGTTAAATATTTGGAAGGAAAGGAAGCTTGAGAATGAAAAGTTAAATGGCAGGGGGCAACTTTAGGAATCTAACTACAGGTCATAAAAAAATCTCAGTTTTTACACCATCTTTAAGAAGCACTTCTGTGTAGCACATTCAGTGTTGAAAACAGATCATAAAATGGAGCTTTAAAACCATCTGCCCTCAGTCTTAAAGAAGTTAAACAAGTCCATTGTTGACACAATATTCATTTGTTTTGACATTTTCTTACTAAAAAGTATAAAGACATACTCTAGTAGAAAAATATTTTAAGATCTTTTTAAGAACTGTGTGGAAATGGATGCCTAATAACTAACAGGAGTAGAATAAAAGTCATGTCTGTCCAGCCTTAATTCATGGAGCATTAATTTGTGTGACTCTGCATAACAAATGAACTGGATTATAATAACACTGCAAAATACAGTATTAATATTCTAAATCTATGGAGAAATTTTATCAATAAATACTCTTTAAATTGCCCTTTCACAAGTGCTCTTTTGATCTTAAAAAATTCATTTAGCACTTACTGGATACTGACTACACATTAGATACAGTTAAATACTTTGGGGCTTATAAATATGTATGTAAAACGTGGCTCTTTTCTCAAAGTGGTTCTATTAATAGATTGGTGGTGATGCCAGAGATGTACATACATAACTGTATTAAGAAATATAAAACAAACAAGTGCCATAAGAAAACCAAGTGCTATGGAAATTCAGAGAAGAAAGAAACTTCTTCCAGAAGGGAGAAGAGGGAAGGCTGCATAGAGAAGGTGGAATTTGAAAGATGTCCTGAAGAGTAACTAGAATCTACATATCTTGTGATTAGGAGAATCAGCTTTCCAGGTAAAGGAGGAGAAAGAAAGGGTCGTTGAGATATACAATGACCTTAGTTCAGTTTGAACATGTGGCTGAACAGGTAGGTGTGACAATATGACAACGTGTGTACATGGGGGGAGGCCCTGAATTTCAGGCTAAAATGTTTAGACCTTGGTGAGAGACTAAAGGAAAAGAGTGAAAGGTTTTCAGCAAGGGGATGGGAGAAAAGGGAGAAGGGAGTTGACTGTTCAAGAGAGTAATCTGGCAGTAACTGTTAGACTAATGGGGTGTGTGAGGGGGAGACTAAAGGGCAAAGGAGCCTTCAGGATGGGAGAGATTAAAAGTGCTACCAAGTGTATATATGTCCATGCCACGCTCTCACTTTGTCCCAGTTTACCCTTCCCCCTCCCTATATCCTCAAGTCCATTCTCTAGTAGGTTTGTGTCTTTATTCCTGTCTTACCCCTAGGTTATTCGTGACTTTTTTTTTCTTAGATTCCATATATATGTGTTAGCATACGGTATTTGTTTTTCTCTTTCTGACTTACTTCACTCTGTATGACAGACTCTAGGTCCATCTGCCTCACTACAAATAATTCAATTTCGTTTCTTTTTATGGCTGAGTAATATTCCATTGTATATATGTGCCACATCTTCTTTCTCCATTCATCTGTTGATGGACACTTAGGTTGCTTCCATGTCCTGGCTATTGTAAATAGAGCTGCAATGAACATTGTGGTACATGACTCTTTTTGAATTATGGTTTTCTCAGGGTATATGCCCAGTAGTGGGATTACCAAACATAAAATAGATAGCTAGTGGGAAGTAGCTGCATAGCACAGTGAGATCAGCGAGGTGGTTTGTGACCACGTAGAAGGGTGGGATAGGGAGGGTGGGAGGGAGGGAGACGCAAGAGGGAAGAGATATGGGAACATATGTATATGTATAACTGATTCACTTTGTTATAAGCAGAAACTAACACACCATTGTAAAACAATTATACTCCAATAAAGATGTTAAAAAAATTAGAAACTAAAAAGTAAAACAAAAGCATTTGTTATTTTATA